GAGGAGAGAGGAGAGAGGAGAGAGGAGAGAGAAGAGAGAAAAGAGAGGCAGGCAGACAAAGAGAGACAGAGAGAGAGAGAGAGAGAGAGAGAGAGTCATGCATGGGTATATGTATGTGAGTATGTGTATATGAGTGTGTGTGAGAATGTGTATGATGTGCATTTGTTTTTGTGTATGTATGAGTAGATATTTGTGTATATGACTCTGAGTATGTGTGTGAGTATGGGGAATGTTTTTGCGTATGTGTGTGTGAGTGTGTGCATTTGGGCGTTTGTGTATGAATGTGGGGGATATTTTTGTGTATGTGTGTGTTGTGTGTGTAACTGTGTGTGGGGGCAGCTGTATGTGGGGGGTATGAGCATGTGGGGGTGTGTTCCTGGTTTGTTAAGGTCTTGTCAGAAATTCAGGCTGGTCTCGAACTCTGTCCTCCTGTCTTTGCTCCAGAGTGCTGAGATTACAGGAATATGTTCACCATGTCTGACTTATGCAGTTTGAGGGAGTCATACATGCTAGGCAAGCACTCTTCCTGCTGAGCTGTGTCTCTGCCCTCCTCTTGAGTCTTGATAAAGATGAAGATGCCTGAGTTCTGTACTCAGATCCTCTGCCCACGATGTCTACAGTAGATGTAGGAAACTTGTCAGTGGGTTCCGATCCTCAAGCTGTGTTCTCAGAAACTTTTACCTAGAAAAGTAGGTCTGTCATCTCTGTGTTTCCTCTTTTGCTCCAGTAGTTTTCATGCAGCCCAGGTGGCTTCCAGTTAACTCTGTAGCCAGAGAGTGACTTTGCTTGCTCTGCGTCTACCTTTCAAGGGCTGGAGATGTACTACCAATCCAGTCAGGGATTGAACCTAGGACTTCATGCATGCTAAGCAAGAATTCTAACTATTGAACGATACCCCTAGCCCTTTCTTTATCTTTTATTTAGTGGGTCTCAGTGAGTATTGGTCAAAAAAACAAAAAGCAAACCTGCTGCCAGGTGTAGAGATCTTCTGTGTTCTCTCAGGTTTGGAATCGGCCGCTTCACTACAGAGGAAGAGGTGGACTACACCGTGGAGAAGTGCATCCAGCATGTCAAGCGACTTCGGGAGATGAGGTGTGTGCCTGCATGCAGACTCTGTGGAAGACACCGAACCACTGACACTTTTCTTGTCCTAAGACTCTGTGTTCATACTGCCAGAAACCCAAGTGTAAAGGGATTGTAGGATGTAAAGATTTCACAAAGCAAGGAAGTAGACCTCCTTGGCTACTTGTTCTTCAGAATATGTTTTAAAAACTAGGTTTTTGCATATAACATAGAGGTTGCTTATGTATCATCAGTAAAGGCCCTGGGTTTGATCCTCAGCCCTGCAAAAGCCAGTGGAAGGCTGAGGTTACAGGTCAGTGGTAGAGCACCTTCCTTAGACAGAAAGTTCAAACCAGGGGTGATGTGGGTTCCTGACGTAATGACCCACAGGCTGCAGCAGGAAGACTGTGCATGAGGGCTTTTCTGAGAAACAAAAACAAAGGGTGGGATTCAGTAACACTGAGGAAAACTGACTGGGGATATGAAAGGCCAAAGTTCAGGAGTTGGGTGTCAGGCTCAGCTCAGCAGAAGATGCTGCCGTGTGTGTGTGTGTGTGTGTGTGTGTGTGTGTGTGTGTGTGTGTGTGTCTGCGTCTCATCTTCAGTGGCAGAAGCAAAAAAGAACTTGTCATAGTCATCACTCCTACCACTCACAAAGTAAGTCAGGCCGCAGGTCATTACCTACAGTCTTCTCAGTAGCATTTCTTGTATAAGAGGGGTGGGTGCTCATGCCTGAGAGCTAAGGTTAAAGCAATAGATAGTCTTCCTGATTCTGGAGTTTAGAAAGAGCCTGGGACTGAGCAGGATTTATAAAAGCTAGAACAGCCTTGTTTGTCTCTTGTTGGGCAAAGGGCAGATGAGCAACAAGGAAGGAGGCAGAGGGTTGCTTGGGCCTGAGGGGCAGGCTCACCCGCTGCTTCCTGTCTAAGCCTCACCTACTTGGTGCCTCTTGTCTTCCTTCGGCAGTCCTCTCTGGGAGATGGTGCAGGATGGCATTGACCTCAAGAGCATCAAGTGGACCCAGCATTAGAGGAGTGGGCTGTGACTGTCTGCTGACCTGCCTGCTCCAGCCTCCCTGATCCATACACAGCCAGGAACCTCACTACCTGCAGGTGGTCCATGCTCAGACCAGATCGGAAGTTCTTCAGTGACTTCACCACACAAAGTTTTCAAGTGAGAAATTGAAGGAAGTATCTTTCCTAGCCTCGGCTCCTTTGTAGGCACATCTTCCCTATTCTTCCTCAGGAGCTCTTCTCTTGTCTAGTGTGGCCATTCTTATCTGAAGGTCTGTAGGCACTGCCATGCTACTGCCACGGGGAGTACTACCTGTGGGGAGATGGAGGAACTGAAAGAAGGCCGTAGGTTCAAAGACTGCTTCTCTGTGAGTATTCGAATCTTCACTCTTCCTGCTCAGCTGGACTGACACCATTAGGGACTGGCATAAACAAACTTTATTTTAGCCTTTTTTGTGGCTTCAAAAGACATCTCCTTATATCGACTTGAGCCGAAGACCAGCAAGTTGTATTAAAGTCTCGTTTCCTTTGTGGTCCCATCTTCCTTTCTCTCTTTTGATTTTAATATTAGTAGTAATATCCATGACCTCGCTCACTATTCTAATAATTTGCTTAATTCATTCAATGTTGTTAATTTGAAGATTGAAGAAATAAATTCCCATTTCCCTTCCTATTCCGTGAGTTTTTGAGCGTCTGAGGGAGAACTGCACTTGAGAACTGTGGAGACTTCTTTCCACCTGCCTTTCTCAGACGATTCAGTCCACTTGCTTTCGCCCAACAATTTAAAGGATTTCCAGGATACACATTTTATTCTGAGTATTGGGATGCACCGGTTCATAGCATCAGGAAGGGCACACTGGCCTCCGTCAGCTTTTACACTAGAGGAGAGATAGAGACTGTCAGACGTGGGACAGTGCTATGGAAAAACAAGAGTGTTTTGAGGAAATAGTAGGGAGAACCGTGATGATGGGTGGCCTCAAGAAGCTGTTCGGGCCATGTGTGAGCACACCATGGAGAGCAGTGCTTGGTGACCTACATAGAAAGGAGCAGAACGAGCCTGCAGCTTTACACTTTAATCTACTCTTCATATTTAAAATTTAAAAAGCTATTGGCAGATCTCTAGGATTTCATTTTTCAATTGTCCTTTTCCGTGCTTTTTCTTATAGTATGTACATGTGTCTATGCATGTGAATACAGGTGCTCCCAGGGCCCAGAGGCATTGGATCCTCTGGAGCTGCCAGTCTCTTGTGAGTTGTTCAGTGTGGGTTGGTACTAGAAATCAAACTTATGTTCTCTGGAAGGGCAGCAAATGCTGTTAGGTATTAAGCCATTTTAAAAAAATCATTTTTTATAAAATCATTTTATGTGTGTGAGTGTGTTGCCTGTATGTATCTATATAAGTGCACCTTGTATATACCATGTGCTCTCACTGAGAAACCCTGTCTCAAAAAACAACAACAACAACAACAAAAAAAAGATGGAAAAAGATGAAGGAAGACACCTGACATTGCCTTTTGGCCTCCGAACACATGAACACAGATGCACACACATTTGCACATCCAATTGCATACACAGCTAAATACACAAGAGGTGCAGTGGGGTAGCTTAGTTGTCAAGTTGTAAAGACCATACACACCTAATCACACCTGAAGTGCTAGGCTGAATCCTTATTACTTTAGTATCTATAGCTATATATGCACACATATAAATATACAGGTATGTATATGGAAAGGGTAGGTTTCATGTTTTTTGAGACAGGCTGTCACTGTATATAATCCTGGCTTCCCTGTAACTTGCTGTGTAGACCAGGCCTCTGCCTCCCTAAGTGGTGTGTGTTTGATATAAACACACACATAGACACATGTTTATGAAATGTGTAGGTCTGTAGGCTTATTGTTATTATTAGTGATGTCAACTTGACTGTATCTGGAATGGAGTCCAGAAATGGAAGGTACACCTGTGGCCTAGATCTTAAGGCCAGAAGACACAAGTTTTGATCCAGATCTTAATGCTGGAAGACACACACACTTCTCTCCAGATCTTAAGGCACACCTTTAATCTGGGCCACTACCTCTTTTCTGTTTGAACTATATAAGCAGAAAAATTCTCAATCAAATGAAAGGAAGGCTACATTGAATCGTGGCAAAAGGCAATCTTAGCCAGTGAATCAATTTTCAGACTCGAGCCAGTTTGCAGTTCCAGAATCCCTTGAATGAACCCCTTGAATGAAGCAGTAGCCAGGTTCCCCTGAGGAATGACCTCGATAAGACACCTAACCATTTCACTGTTAGCCTTTCTCCAGTTGTTCCCCAGAGGGACCTATGGCCTTTTACAAGGATAACTGTACACTAGGGGAAAGAAAATAATCAGGCCTTCTAGGATCTGTTGGTTACTGGTTCTGAACTGACACTGATCCCAGGTGATCCCAAGAAACATTGTTGCCCTCCAGTTAAAGTAGGGGCTTATGGCGGCCAGGTGATTGATGGAGATTTGGCTGATGTCTGACTCACAGTAGGTCCAGTAGGTCCCAGAACACATCCTGTGGTCATTTTTCCAGGTCCAGAATGTATAAAGTGGTAGATATACTTAGAATTTGTCAGAATTCTCACATTGGTTCCCTGACCTGTGGAGTGAGGGCTGTTGTGGTTGGAAGGCTCAATGGAAGCCCTTAGAGTTGCCTCTGCCAAAGAAAATAGTGAATCAGAAACAGTATTGTGTTCCTGGAGGAATTGCAGAAATTAGTGCCACCATCAAGAACTTGAAAGATGCAGGGGTGGTGGTTCCCACATCTCCCCTTAGCTCTCTCTCCTATCTGGTCAGTGCAGAAACAGATCGTTGAGGATGACAGTTGACTTTCAAAAACTAAATCAGCCAGGAACTCTGATTGCAGCTGCTGCACCAGATGTAGTTTCCTTACTTAAGCAAATTAACACATCTCCTGGTACCTGGTATGCTGCTATTGATCTGGCAAATGCCTTATCAGTACCTGCCCATAAGGACCACCAGAAGCAACTTGCTTTCAGTTGACAAGGCCGTCAGTATACCTTTACAGTTATGCCTCAAGGATATATTAACTCTCCTGCCCTGTGTCATAACTTAGTTAAAAGGGATCTTGATTGTCTGCCTCTTCCACAAAAAAAAAAAAAAAATCACATTGGTGCGTTATATTAATGACATTATGCTGATTGGACCGTGTGAGCAGGAAGTAGCCACCGCTTTGTACTCATTTGTAATACATATACGTATCAGAGGATGGGAAATAAATCCAACCAAAATTCAAGGACCATCTACCCCAGTGAAATTCTTAGGAATCCGGTGGTGTGGGACATGCATAGATATTGCTTCTAAAGTGAAGAGTAACTTGTTGCACCTGTCCCTCGCCACCACCAAGAATGAAGTACAGTGTTTAGTAGGTCTATTTGGATTCTGGAGACAGCACATTCCTCACTTGGGTGTGTTACTCAGTCCCATATACCAAGTGACTCAGAAAGCTACAAGCTTTGTGTGGGGCCTGGAACAGGAGAAGGCTCTTCAAAGGCTGCTGTGCAGGCTGCTCTACCACTTGGGCCATGTGGTGATTTGTATGTGCTTGGCCCAGGGAGTGGCACTCTTTGGAGGTGTGGCCTTGTTGGAGTAGGTGTGGCCTTGTTGGAAGAAGTGTGTCACTGTGGAGGTGGGCTTCGAAGCTCTGCCCATCTGGACTAGTCAGTCTTCTCCTGGTTCCTATCAGAACAAGATGTAGAACTCTCAGCTCCTTCTACAGAACCATGTCTGCCTAGATGCCACCATGCTTCCCTCCATGATGCTAATGGATTTAACTTTTGTAAATGTCATCCAGCCACAATTAAATGTTGTCCCTATAGGAGTTGCCTCAGCCATGGTTTCTGTTCACAGCAATAAAACCCTAACTAAGGCAGAAGTTGGTACCAGGAGTTGGGTATGCCGTTCCCCCAGCCTTGAGCAGGCCTGAGAGATCTTGTTTACCACAACAGACCAAATAATAGGACCTAGGTGGAACTAGCCACCTTGGCTGCACTTACAGCCTGCTACAGGAACTTCAAAGAAGAACTGCCGGCTGAGCTTGCCTTGAGACATCTCTGGCGGTGACCCATGACCAAGAATGGATTATCCCACTTGTCTCTCCTGGCTGAAACTAAGAAGCATTCGGGCGGGGTCTTTCCCTTTAAATTGAGAGCTGAACATTAAAGCATTGAGCCTTGATCAGAGAGAACTTTGTCTTGGCTTCATCTCTTCTCTCCCTCGCTCTCCATCCTCCTTTCGTTCCCGCCCCTCTTCTCAGGTGAATCCGTTCGACTCGTGGCCGCGGGCGGCTACAGTTGGGTATTGTTGTGATAGGCCTGACCATGCTTTTGTTGGGAGGAATGTGGATTTGGGGACTTTGGATTTGGGAAGCAGTGGAATGCTTTAAATGGTGCTCAGTGGGCCATCCTAGTAGGAATATGGAAGACATTCATGATGAGTATGATTTGAATTGTGTAGTATCTCGAGCAGGGTCTCTTATCTATTACGAGCAAGGGGTTTGAATCCCCCGCGGGGAGAGGAGCGACAGGTCCTGCTCCACTCAGGGATCTGGATTTGACTGTGAGATCATCAGCTCCTCGAGAGGGAAGAGAGTATGCCAAGAGACAGAGAGTTTGTGGAATTCAGTTACTTCTTTAATGATAATGCACAGCAAGCAAACACAAACACAAATGCTAAGGCTATTGCTACAACAAGATATTGTCACTTTTCCTATAGGTTGCCTCTAACAATATACACAATTAACACACATAAAAAGTTGCTAATTATCAAAGAAATAAGCATAGCAATAAGCACATCATTCATTCATGGATTATGCGACCTGAGTCCTTTTGATGGTGTCAGGTTACAGGTTCCAGTCCTTGAAGGCGGGGTCAGGCTGCAGCTTCCAGATAGTTGAATTGCTAATTTGACCTCGCAGGGTGCTTGACCAGGAAGAAGCTGGAGGCTCTGGTCTCTCGGTTTGAAGTCCCTTAGCCCTGAAGTTGGAGGCATAGGTCTCTCAGTTAACTCTTTGATGATCTGGTGCTGAGGAGGCTTTGTCTGGAGGATCACATTGGCTAGTCATGGCTACAAGTGTGATGAAGTGCTCTGGACGGGCTCCTCTTTTATGCTGAATTTGGAGTTACTCTTGACGTACATGGCAGATAACCACTCGTGTCTGGTTATCTCAGCACAGCTTCATTTCCAGACTTGCCTTTACAAGTACCAGACATGTCCAGACATGTCTTACAAGTTTCCTATTACAAAATGGAGTTGGTCCTGTTTAAGGGCCTGCTCCTTACATGTAGACTGGCCCAAGAGGTTTCAATGGAGAAGGATTTCAGTATGTGGCTTAGAGACTGTTCTTGGGGTATTTTGGTGAAGAATATGGTGCTTTGTGCCCTTGTGTGAAGAGTTTACCTGAGGCTAAGGTAAATTTATACTAATTCTATTGACAAAGGAAGTCTCAAAAAAGCCCAGCATAGACTTTGTTCTCTGGGTAAGTCTCATGAAGAGGATTTTGAGCAAGTGTAGCAAGCTAAGAAAGGAAAAAATATAAAATGTATAGTTCCAGTAATAAAGGGGCATCAGGAAATAAAATGGAGCTGAATCCTGTGTTTAAGGAGATAAAGAGATTAAGAGAGTGGGGAC